AAAACTAGGGCGAAGGTTCTAGACCCGAATCTTTGCGCACGTAGTTTGCCATCGGCATACCTGCGGCGTGCCTATGGACCACCGTAGCATGCTAACAGCTGTTCAGCGCGGGAGTTCAAAATTGTGAACTAACGAACAAAACTCGTTCCCAATCGAAACGCAGTGATATGACACAAACTTTGGTGCTGCTTCGAGCTGGGTGCCAGCTGAGCTGAAACCGACCTTTTGTTCACATCTTTCAATCTTTTATAAATAGTATCTTCACCACAAAGTTTTCATAAAGGATAAAAACGGTTGCTTGATCTTTTTTTAAAGATTTTTATAAGCCCTCACAAAATTTCATTGGTGCGTTGCCCCGATCGCAAAGCGATCCCTCAAGCAAACCAGAACGCACGGAACTTTTATTTTCGCTGTGCGCTTGGTGCTTTTCACCTTTATCTTTGCTTTCTCCCTTTTTTTGTTGTTTTCAGTCATTCGTTCGTCTCATTCGCAGAGAAGGTTGGGGAGGGGGATGTGGAGGTGTAGGGGAGAGAGAGAGAAGGAGTAAAGAATGAGGGAGAGTTGTAGGTTTTTCGGTTTTTGTTTGTTTCCGGCTTCTTGCCCTTTATTCCGTGTTGGGCGACACCTCACCCAATATGAAGGACAAAAAGCCAACTGGAGAGGAGTGAGAGAGCCAAAAGAAAGTCAAAGGCACTTCGTTGAAATTCTTGAAGATCAGAGGGGACTGTTTCAAAATCTCCCTGGTTTCGGTGCAGAGCCCTGGCTCGGGTCGATCTTAACTGGCGCAACTGATGCCAAGCCATCGAAATTGCTCACGACTCTTATTCATTTGAGTTTTCATAGACCTAGCCATAGCTCTAAGCCTCTCACGCGCGTGTGCTCCAAATTTGGGCCATATCGTTGCATTTTCGTTGTAAACAAAAGTATTAGTTCATTTGAACACAATTTTTAACAATCCGCTGTGCGACATCGTGTTAGATGGGAGTAATACTGTTGCGGCTCGGTGTGCTCAGCACTTCGCCCAGTGCTCGTCCGCCTGACCACACAACTCCTAGCTCCAGGAAATACCGCCTCGGCGCTAGTATGCGCATCTCCTAGCGCGTCCGCTCGACGCCTACACCCCTCTAACCCGTACGACAGAAACATCACACGCGCAACTAGATTACATTACATTTATCTAAAACTACACAAAATAACAACAACTACTAGAACAACAAAAAATACTAAAACTACTAAAAAATCACTAAACACTACTCAGACTACTACTACTACTCCAGGACAAGAAGAATACGCACGGGACGAGCCGCCTCGTCCCGTGCTGCCGATGCCTTATGAAGATCAACTCCAACACGAATAGTTCCGGGTTCTCCGAAGGGTCAGTCGCAAGTCCTTAGCCCTTACGGGACAGTGAGACCCCTCTCCACTCCCGCAATCCTTTCCGCTGCTTGTTAGATTACAATCCTAGCTGCGCGTCTCCATGCACAAGAAGAATATCAAAAGGCTCAACCGCTCCAAACCGTTGATCATCTGCGGGAGCTACTGGAGGCGCTGCCAGCGGGTTGATATCATGAAAAAATCAATAACGAACGAAGCTCGAGGAGGCGTGGACCGCAGCCCGCGCGCCCTTATATACCCTGAGACTTGGCAACGCGCCCAGCAGGAGAGGTCTTGGCGCGATATTGATAACGCGCCAAGTAACGCGACAGCCAGGGCTCCCGGCCTCCTGTTTCGAGGTGGCTTGCATCGCGCGAGCCGCGACAAATACCTAGGCTGTTTCAAAAGTTCTGTCCGATTTTCAATTGCCTTGTTTTAACTCAGCTATATCTTTCTAGGGTTTTGCACTTATGGCATTGTTATAAAAATCATCTAGAAGTACTTTTCCTGCTCTTTGTAGTGCTCACTAAAGCTTCGCTAATCAACTTTCCAGTGATGAAATTTCAAGCCTCGAAGAAAAGTTGCCAAAAGCAGTTATGCCCAAGAAGAAGTTTCCATGAAGGCAACTTCCGCGTGTTCGTAAGACTGAATATCTAATATTTTATAAAGGGTGAGGGTATAATGAGCTAATATAAGCACACTTTCCGATTTAGAGAATGTCTTACTTTTTTAAAATTTTTTTCGAAGATAGAAGACAAACTCAGTTATTTAACAAGCGACAGCAATCTACATAAAGCGACAAGTGATGCATTCAATATTGCATATGTTAGAGCGAAGCGAGATAAGTATAATGAGCTAACAAGCAGGAACCATAGGCCAGTTGGCCTTCTTGTTTGCAACAGCAAAAAAAATCAAATATCAGGAAGTTGGCTGAGGACTCAAATAATATACTTTCTTTGATTTGCTCGCAAAAATTTCTACACAGCAAAAATAACTCAAATTTTCTCTAGCCCAAAAGAACCTCTGAAGTATAGGCTACTTAATGATGGCAGCCAAATATGTCTGCCCATCCTCATATGAAAGCAGCAGTAAGTCAAACTGGACGGTTTTGAAGAAAACCTTGCAGAATTCTGAAAATTTTCTCTTCTATCTCGCTTGCCTTTCTTAATGGCATACAGTGCATATGATAGTCATAAACTCGCTCAACTCAACAAAATTTAATTTGTTCAAAATTGTTGATTTTGAAAAAAGTTATAGAATTTTAGATGAAAAAATCGCAAATCGGACAGAACTTTTGGAACAACCAGTACTTTTGTGACGAACATCTAAACTGGTGAAGATGGAATATTGCTCACATATTGTTCCTGATGTATTTTTCTGCAGTTTTTTGCGTAACTCCCTCCCGGATCTCGCAAAAACGGTATCGCCTTGTTTTCTTCCCCAGAACCATATCTAGTTTGATCCAGTTTGGATATCGAATATGAACGGGGTTTCCTAACACCAGAGAATTATGTACATAAAATACTTGAAGCCAGCTGAAGTAGCGCGAAAGGATTGTTTGTGAAAAAAAGTTTGCCACTCCTATCAAATATCTGCATTGAAAGAATCAAAAGTTGAAACCTGAATTAGATAAAGTTAGGCATGAAAAGATCTGAGCTTGAGCACTAGCTTCCATAATATATGAACAATCACTAAAAAATCATTGCAGCATGAATGGGAGAGGAAGCCGACATCATCTTGAGTCATCATTCTATGTCTTTGAACGTGTCTCTTCAAGCAAAATTTGTAAACTCCAGAATAAAACAGAAGTTTAGAGTTGAAAGAGAGGATGCAACTTGCTTTGGCAAAGTAATCCCTGTGCTTCAGATCTGTTCTGCACCGAAAGTTGACGTCCTACTGATAAGTCTTGCAAAAGCTGATCGTAAAATCTTGTTTCCCAATCCATTCTAATTGAAGTAATATGAAGATTGTCTAAAATTAAGCTGATTTTGAAGACAAAGATGAACGAAACACTGCAAAAAGAAGCTTCAAATGAAATAGCTCATTTCTAAGAGCTTCAACCTAAACGTTTTCACAAGCATAATCGTTATCAAAATAACCAGGATTCAGAGATCTTCAACTTTGTTATGTTAATGATACACTGCAAATACCAAAAGTTATTATCAGTTAAAAGGAACGTAGCAAACTCCGCCTCGAGGTATCGGACAGAAAGTAAAAACAATGCACTTTGGCCACTGTTTCTCTCCTTACATTTACACTTTATAGTGGTAGCTCCCTTGTATTAGGTATCTTCTTAACTTTAGTAGGAAAAACAAAAAAGATTATAAAGTAACCCAGTATATTATACAATTGTATCTCATTTGCTTTTCCTTCTGAAGGTGGTTATCATATTGAGTCTTGCAACTTTCTACTGGTCTTTGCCATTTGCATGTGGTACTCTGATCTGAGCAAACTGGGTTTCTAGTTGCCTACTGCAATTCGATAAATCATCGATGTGTATTAAACTCAAAGTGTGACTTTGCTTGTTAAAATATTTATGGCTTATAGACTCCTTTGTATGTGAACCAAAGAGGCTGAAATTCTCTCCCTTATAAACAAGAGCCACGGCGCAAAACATAGGCTACTTTTCGCGACGATTCGCTGGGTCCTTCTATCGATTTATTGATTTGTTTACTCAAACTAAAGATGAAAGCTCAAGTGTTACTAAATCAATTCCCAAGTGAAGTAGAAGGGGGCGGTAAAGATCCTTTACATTTCGTGGCGAGGGCGATGCGATTTCAATAAGAGAGGCGACAAGAAGGAAGGAAACAAGTACGGGTACCACGAGCGCTGCAGTGCAAACCAGGAGGACAAGCAGGAAGGAAGGAGGAAAGAGAATTAAGAGAGAAAGGGACGAACTGTGAGTTATAAGATGCCTTGATTACCATGCTAGGCCAGTTTGCCACTGTTCGGGCTGGACCGGAGACATCGGCTAGTCGTAACATATAGCAGTAAAAGGTCTAATCAGTGCGCAACATGATTTGTATCGAAGAAGAAAGTAAAGAAAAGGGGATACATGTAATAATAATGTAATGGTAATTTGATACCATTACATGACTCAGGGTTGAAAGCTGAACTTCACCCCTCATAGCCTTCTTCTTTGCAGTTAACCTATTATAAAGTAAATCTCACTCAAAGAAAGACTTGTGTCAAGGGAAATAGTGCGACGGTGACGAGACTGGCGCATTTCCTTACTTTTCCTCAAAATAAGACGGTGATTCACGGATTAGCAACAGACCCAATCTTTTCCACTTCTGAGCACATAACAGTCTCTGACAAACAATTATCTGTCTGTCACTTTAGAGGGTGATTTCATAGAACAGCTGGTAACCAAACAAGTTGGCACTATGCGGTCAAACTGACACTGCAAACAATGCGAACGATTTATAAACGGCGGTCATCGCGCAGCTCAACATAGTCTACGAATTGCCCCTTCCAAATGTGCCGCCTACTTCTTGCTCTCCTCGTTCTCGTTGCAGTCACGTTAGCTCAGAGACAAGGTACGAGAACGAATTTAGTCATAGTGTTCCTCAAACACGTACGTTCGCCTAGATTTGCTATCACACGCTGTCGGCCCATGCATCAACGGGCGGTGCCAACCAGGACACTCTTGCTACTTCGACGAATGCATCCCCAGCTCACTCATGCCGCGCAGCAGAGCAAAGCGAAACTTTGAGACACCGGGTAAGTTCTAATCTTACACCTTTTTAAATTCAGGCAGTTTCTAAGCAATGCGAGCTCGCCATTGCTTCATGGCTCATGATGTTTATTCTTCAGCTCTAAGTGCGGGCAAATGTGTCAACGGTATGTGTCCAGCCGGTTATGTATGCACTGAGACGAACTGCATAAGAGCTTGAGGAAATACGGAGCGCTTACGTCCATTATGGGTCTTCTTTGTCTCAAATAATAAATGCTTCCTTCTATCACATGGTTAATGCTTTTCCACAAGAATTTTCAAAGCATACTACTTCTTTGAAATTTTGCATAATTTAATCAGATATGTATAGTTCATTTATAAAATCGTGACGACGGATTTTACTGCGGACTTTGCTCCCACATGAGCATAAAACGCTCACACAAAAAGGCATTATCTCAAGGTTCAGCTCAGTCAGTTCCAGTGTCTAAATACTGTCATACGTAAGCAAAAAAATCTTTCGACTATAGATGGAAATCAAGAAAATGCGAATTCCGGAAGTGGCGTGCGTGCTGCTCGCGGTCGCGCCATCGTCACGATTTTTCAAATGCCCTATAATTTGGTCTGGGAAGCTCCTAGGGATCATCCATGATGGAAGAGTTTTAAAGAGTAATGGTACTAAGTTTGAGGCATTGAAGCTTAAAAAAATGGCTCAATCAAGTTCATTTTTTGAATCTAATGCCTTTATCGAAGACCAAAACAGGAATCAGTTGCGAATATTCACAATGATTATCCAGACTGTTTTGTAAAGGTTGCAAATTCGAAATTGATCCATTCTGTTTTGTGCTTTTGTGAAAGAACAAATTCGCTACTGAAAAGACAAGTAAAAACAATACGATATCTACACAAATTATTCGACAAATCAACTATAAGGGTGTCCCAAAAGTAAATGCACGCTTTTTGATCGTTACACCATCAGAAAGTGTGTTTACTTTTGGGACACTCTATATATCAATCAGTATAGCGAAAGCAGAGCATTGAGAAACCTAGAACTCAACAATTCAGTTTTTTCAAATTTGAAAGAACACTAAGCGATTTTCAAGCAGAGACATTTACAGTTGCTGAATGAGCTGAGATTACATCGGCTAAAGCTTAACAATCCAGTCCTTGAACCAACCAGAAGAGCCCATTTATTCGAAATGACCGTTCAAACTGAAATCTACAGATGCACCACAATGTGTCAATTGAACATGTGTCTCTAATCTGCAAAATCGCAGAACACTTTTTCTATAAGGAATTATGAGCGTATTTTGATTGGTCTTGCTAAGATAAAAGCTTCAATTCTGCAACAACGACGATCCGGAGGTGAGCATAACGCTATCAAACGATGTTCAAGCCTAAATTTGTCAAAAACGACTGTGGAATGTGCAATTTGTTTTACATTCGACGCTTCCCCGATAAATACAGTACCCACACTAATTATTCGACAGAAAACGCAAAAACTGACGATCCGCGTTTTTTTCGTTTTTTCTTCATAACTTCCTTCAAATTGCATAAAATACAAATCCGAAGAAAGCATAATGCTCAGTTCATCAAGATGAATCTTCTGATTTACTGCACTATCGTACTATTCTTTTTTCAATCTGCTCGATTTTTGTGTGCAGACGGATATTCGTAGTGGTGTAACTCAGCGAAGAACACACAGGACGATTCATGTAAACATGGTTCAATAGTGCTGTCCCCGTAGATTATCATGTACTAGTGAGTAGCGAACGATTCCCTTTCCATAGGGAAACATAGGCCGTTTAAATTTGAAAAAATCGATGTCTCTCAAATTCTCGTTACCGTAACCATACAGTAAGACGCTAATTTGCAAAGCAAGTGTGTTTTTCGTGATCAGCGGGTTAGATAACCTCTATGCGCAAGTTTTCCAAGGAATTCGGAACCTTTCATTTTTTCTCGTTCTGGGCTGTGAAGCTCGCCGACGGGTTTTGGCTAAAATATTGATGATCTTGGATTGACCGGAAACCATTTCGTCATCGGTCGATATCGGCTTATCGATTTTTTGCAAACTTTGAGTTACAGGTGTAAGAGCTGGCACAAGGGGTAAGCAGCAGTATGCGGCATATATCAATTTACATGTGTATATAAACATAATATCAGCAATCTGTAAACATTCGCGGCGATATTTGGCCAAAATATGCAATCTTAAAATTTCGAACGATTTTCATGAGGACGTGAGTTCGTCAGCTCACAGTTCGGCGATCAATACAGGTAAGGGCCTAGTTTAAGCATGCTCTAAAAGCACTGCCCCTATTGATTTCAAATTACAAAAAGGAGCAGGTAAGTTGTCCAACAGACACGTGCAAAGGACAGACAAACTTAGGAACTTGCGTAGTATCGCAGCATTCCTCTCAGCATAACTCTGCCAAAAGAACTTATGCTGCACAGAGGGCACTATTTCTGCAATCAGCAAGTCCGAAAACCTCTATGGGCGAAGTTTCCGGTCAATCCAAGATCATCAATATTTTAGCCAAAACCCGTCGGCGAGCTTCACAGCCCAGAACGAGAAAAAATGAAAGGTTCCGAATTCCTTGGAAAACTTGCGCATAGAGGTTATCTAACCCGCTGATCACGAAAAACACACTTGCTTTGCAAATTAGCGTCTTACTGTATGGTTACGGTAACGAGAATTTGAGAGACATCGATTTTTTCAAACTTAAACGGCCTATGTTTCCCTATGGAAAGGGAGTCGTTCGCTACTCACTAGTACATGATAATCTACGGGGACAGCACTATTGAACCATGATTACATGAATCGTCCATGTGTGTTCTTCGCTGAGTTACACCACTACGAATATCCGTCTGCACACAAACATCGAGCAGATTGAAAACAGAATAGTACGATAGTGCAGTAAATCAGAAGATTCATCTTGATGAACTGAGCATTATGCTTTCTTCGGATTTGTATTTTATGCAATTTGAAGGAAGTTATGAAGAAAAAACGAAAAAAAACGCGGATCGTCAGTTTTTGCGTTTTCTGTCGAATAATTAGTGTGGGTACTGTACATGAGAACAAGTTGTAAGTAGAATTGAGAATTCTTTTGAGAATTCTCCAACTTGAGTTGATTCGTCCGAAGATCTGTCAGTATTCTCATTCTTAACATATGTCCACTGAAACTTGCCCACGATCACACAATACATGATAATATTGGGTTGGCTAAAAAAATAAGGTCGTTTTGGCATCAAATCTTCATAAAATTTTCCTTTTGTTTTCTACCCATGATTTATGGAAAGTAGAGAAAAGTTTTCTCTATCACATATCAAATATTCAGGATTTTCTATCATCAGCAAAGACAGGCCTCAACATGGCTAAATTTCCAATAGCTCAATTTGACTTCTTAAGCTTCGTTTTCATGCTGTAATGGATGTAGAAGGCAACAGACTTGGAATTTGGATACAGAGGAGGTTTACCTATTTAGTGAATAACAATGAATATTGTGATATCCTACTTTAAAAATCTTTCGTCAAAAAAAGATAAATTTCTTCATATTTGCGCACTATGGGAAAATTAAGGTCTCTCACTTCTTTGCAAATTTTCTTCCTTAGATAAGTTCTACTCAAGCAGAATTTATACTCCAATTCTCACTAATGCTCTAGAGTTACCACACACCGGACAAAAGTTTGTCTACAACATTTGTAAAAGCCGCAAAAGCGACCGAACTTATTTATTAGCCAACTAACATATTAAGGTGCTTTATAAGCTGGAAAAACTTTATTTTTATCAATGTGTTAATACGACGATGCTTCGAATGAATAAGTGGCATGTGATTGTACTAGTTGTGACATCACTAGAAATCAAAACGCCTAGAAGCTTGCTTGAATCGCTCTTATTCTGAATGGAATTTCCATCGCAGATGGTGTGTGCTGTGCTATAGGGTAATTTATCCTTGTGTTTTTCTTGGCAATGCAAAACTCTGATAAGCCTCTATTGTCATTGTTATAATGCAGAAGCGATCCTTGACTGAAAAAACTTATCGAGCATTTACGTCGATACAATCTGCCAACAGATAAGGTGCACGCGGAACTTGCGATTAGACTTGTAACTGAATGTTTTGATCGTTCTTGGTTCTGTTGTTCTTTCACGGTTCATCTATCAGTCACTTGATTTAATCTGTTTGATATCCCTTTTGTAAGGCAAATCTTAGACGTTTCTTTGGAAGTAGTAAGGTGTGCATAAAAGAATTGAGGAATTTCAGATATTTCTTCACTATCATAATCATCAAGCCGTGTGATAGGGATCTCGCTACCATTTTGACGCTAGTCAAGCTCCACGGTTATGCTCTTCAAGCTCGCCAAGTAGTTTTCTGTCGTGCAAGAAAGCCATTTATCTAGAAAGAAAGTAGATCGCTGTTGCTAGCACCCATTAAAAAGCGACTTTCCGAACGCTAGGCTTGCATCTCCGAAGAGACGTTTCAACTTGAGTAATTCTGAAAATTATGCACTCGTTGAAGTCATACAGTGACGATCTGAAGAAATCTATCTCACTATACTGCATTGTTGTGAGGCGGTATTATGGCCAGCATTTGATTATTAAAGTAACAAAACAATGTCGTTTTGACTATCACGGTACGCCTGACAATGAGAGAAAATTTTAGGCACATACCCTAAGGTGGAAGTATGAAGCAGATAATAGCGCTAAGCTATATTCTGCTTTGCTGCTTATCACTATGCAATGCTCAGACGTCTCAGTCATGTTCTGAGTGTGTTCAGCAAAGCAAGGTGTGAGTCTCCTGGCACTGAATTATGAAAGTGAAAGGAACATTTAGATGGTGTCCAGTGACGAAAACTTGCGAAGACTCCAGCACCACGTGCAGCACAAGTATTAAAGTAAGTGCCGAGTAGAAAATTGGTCATTGCTAGAATATGTTGTTTAGTTAGTGCTGAATTGTCCACGATCACCGGATCCAGCCTTCGCTTACAATGAGACATTCACGCGCTACTACATCACACCATTAGTGGCTGCTGTCCATGCAAATAGTCCGGCCACATGTTTGAAGTAATCACTTTTGGTTAAACTAAATAGAATTAGAGCAACAGAAGAGAACATTCAAAACAGTGAAGAAATAAACTAGGGCGATAAGTGATAAACTGATGATTACCTCCTCAAAGTATTTCACTAGTTCCACACAGAGGAGTAGAAGACCATTAGCTATCATTAGCGCGGTGCGGCTGTAGTCATCACTATCTGCGCATCCACTTTTGCGTCTTCTTTTTGCGAACCAAAGGCGTTGGCCATCTGATGCAGTTCAGGCACAGTACGCACAGTGCACATTAGTGGCTTGAATTGAATGTTTTTAACGAGATCGACAACTCATCAGAATGATTTGATGTCTATTATTGTAGGTCACAAGTCCCTCACGCTTCATTTTACAAATCTGTTCGCACTCAGTGCGCCGCAAATCAGACAGGTGAATGCGTTCACATTTCTAAAGCTATTGCTTCTTAACATGTACATATTTAGATGTGCACTGCTTCGCTTATACAGCATGGGATCCAGTAGAACAAGCAGTAATAATTAGTTTCGAAGGAACCTCCAGTGCTCTCCAGCTAGGCGACGAATTTGACAGCTTCTTCAAGTAACATAGCTCATTTAGCAAAATCCCGCATAGAGGAAGTTTTTAGGCATAAAGTGGCGTTCTTTGACAACGGATATCTTTTCAAGTACTTCAGCGATGCATTTATGTTTCTGTGGAATGCCGGACTTGAGCAGCAAGTCCGCACGTTGAAGTATCAGTACCCGGACTGCAAAATCTATGTGAGTGCTGAGAAAGCTAGCAATGTGGGGGCAAAGTTTTCTGCTTCACAAGAAACATAGGAGTACGCTAGCGTAATTTGCAACAAGCTAGCTGTCAAGGCATCGTTAGAATGATTTTGAGGAAGGTGTTGAATTTGGTAAAGTGAGAGGCCTGTGTTTTATCCTGGTGGTAGTAGACTATAGTATGCTTAGTAACACATAGCTAATCCAGAAACTTAGGCCAGAATTGCAAACCATCTAATTGTAAGATTTATCATTATCTGTTTACACATTTCTACACCTTCGTCTATCTTCAGCTGGCAAAACTCCCTCGCAATTGGCGGTGATTAACACGTTGACAACCGTGTGCATACACGCGTATGCACGCCCCGACTCCCGTTTGGCATTTTCGCCCATGCGCACGTATGCGCGCCAGTTTTCCAGGTGTAACCGAAAAGTTCTAAGGTAACTCCTAAGCAGTAATACTACTGATGGTCTGACTGTCATACAGAACACAGAGCATCATGGCAGCTGTTCAGAAGATTGAACCGCAAATTTTGGTGTTCAGTCCATTCTTGATGTGATAAATATATGCTAATTATATTTTTCCGAGAAGGCAAAACTCTGTATAGCTGTTTTGAGAATAAACAGGGATGAATCAAGCGAAAAACACCTAATTTCATAAGCCTTTTCTCGAAAGAAAATTTCCCAAACATAGCCATTGCAAGCTTCGGAGAGGAAAGCGATGCAAAAACTTCACATTGTAATTTCTGGTAAAATCTTGTGATATGCATGCATTTCTTTAACAAGTTCGCATGTTTCTTGAATGAACGTTGAAAAGACTCTCACATAATGATTTCGTGCATACGCGCGTATGCACGCTCCAAATGCGTAAGAAACGTTCGTGGGAGTTTCGTCCAAATTGGCTCAGTCGTCGACGTGTTAAGTACAAAGTAAGGTCTTCTTCGTCGTACAAGTGCTGCTGTTGTCCCAAGACAACCATCAGGAAGTCACTTTGTTGTTAGAGCTTAAGCCGAACCATATGGGCTGTCAATACCATGAAAATGCATGCAGTCATTTTACTCTCTAGACACCAAAAAACAGCAATATATGCTTTCAACAGACATGAGCGAATAGATGAAAAGCTAAGTTACTTGAAATCTGAGGGTCATGCGAGTGTGTGTCACATACTGTGCATTACTTTCCATATGAAATCCTGCACCTACATAATGGGAAAGGATGGCTAAAAGAAATCATGAATGTATCTGAGCATAAGTTTAACTAACGTTAAGCTCAAATTCACCACACTGGGTGCAAAACGTTATTTTGAAAAGTGTTTTTTTCACAACCTCCTTTGTCTTCGCCTTGCTCTAACAAAGAGCCTATGGGAAAAGCCGAAATTGTTTCACCACTCAGTAAGGCACCTGTAGATCACCGGCCACTCCTTGGGAGCTTCAATCGCAAGTATCGCAGCTTCATATATTGTCAAATGGAATATGTGGACAGCGGAGAACGTTCGACTGGTCACATTTGGACAGCCCAGGACAGGCGACTATGACTTTGCAACCTGGCACGATGCCACGGTATGAAACAAAAATCCCTTTGGAATGCAAATTCTTAAAATCCTCTTTCAGTTCCGATATGCCTACCGCATAGTGCATCACAACGATCCAGTGCCTCATATTCCTCCACGTTGGGGCCCCGACAGAGTGTTTCACCATCGCTTTGAAGTTTGGTTTGTGAAGCTCCTCCTTTTTTTTGAATTTGTGTACATCACCATTGCAGGTACGATAACAATATGGCCGTGGGACAACCATACACCATCTGTCAAGAAGCTGATGGTGATTACTGTAGCAATACAGTAAAAGATGAGGCTGTCTTGGAACATCTACAGTATTTCGATAAGATACTTCATACATGGGGTGCTGCAGGCTGCCCATGATTAATTTTAATAAGTTTCGATAAACGTTTTCTTTTGTGTCGTAGTGTTTGCACTATAAGATACATACAACTGAAGTATAATTGGGATGCCCACAGTCCATACTTTTGAAACCTTTCTAGAAAAGGCCTGATACTTTCTAACTTCTTTTCTCTTTCAGAGCCGTGATGAATTCTCTCATGAGAACAAAGTCGAGTTTGTTAAATGTGTAGCCAACTCGCGCATTGATTATGTTTGAAACTTGCATATTTTTAGACCATGGATGAGAATAGTTTCGCACTGCGATAACTCCGTGGAACTTACGATGTGATAGCAGAATTTCAGTTCTAACATCAGTTCTAACATCTGATGAAATACAAATTTGGTATTGAGGCTAAATGAGGAACTAAGTTTTTTTCAGGTTCTCGCAATTGCCAAAGCTACAGAGAGATTCGTCTGTTGTAGAGTGGACATTTCCAAAAAATACAATCTTTGATAATTGCATGTTAAATATTGTAAATGCTAGGACAGTTCCGCGCTGACAAGCGTAGACAGAAAGACGTCGGTTCGTAATCAAGTGAAAGTCAGATTATCACTATATTCACTAGCCTCATTCGTTCAAGCGCGGGTTATGCACTCTCTAATTTTGCAACGAGCATGATTTATCATGCTAGAAATTGTTCAAGCCAGTTATCATAGTAAAAAAGCAAAAATTCTGTAGCAGTGAAGAAGCCCAACTTGCGAGGGGCGCGCAGTTTCGAGTTTCGTTCGCTGGAGTTCATGCCTATTCTAGAGATTGGAGTTGTGGTGACATCTATGGAGTATCAACTTGCCATTGGATTTCGACCGGAGACACTAGTAGAAATCAGCATGTTGAGAATTTTTCCGCATTTAGTGCCGTGTAATGATTGTGCAACAACCCACAGCAAATGTCTCGCGATGATCATCCGATACTCAAACACGACTAATCCGCTTCTGTAATCTCACTTCACCTACCCACACATTCACCTCTTCCTACGCAGCAATCCATGTCACTCATGCAAATTCCGTTTTCCCTTGGTATATTTCTTATGAATCATCGTTTTGAATTGGTGTGTAACGCTTTCCCTCAAGATGCAGATTTTTAGTGTGCAAATTGAAGCAACTGCTGTGGACGGGAATTTACTCACTGTCTAGAAATTCATTAGGAGTCTCGGTGACTTTTCTTTTCCTTTTTTTAGCCAGGAATGCTGGCAGCTAGCATCACTTCTGAAGCTATTCACAAAAAAATGATACATCTATATAGGATTTCTCTTTATTTCTATAACATGTGTGCTCTGAAAAGGTATTTGGAAAAGATGTCCCAAAATAATGTGTCGAACGTTTGTTCTCTAGCAAAATTTATTTTATGAAAAGCCGGCTTTTTTCAAAAATTTTAATTGTAACTGGCTTCCACTTAGATTCACAGTACAAGGCGGACACAATCGCTTTCCAGTACTGAAAAATTACGGCAGGAACGCAGCTAGCGTCATTTGGATTAGCCGTGTTTCGAAAAAGACCCCAAAAAATCTGAAGACCTGTATACCAGGCTTTCGCGCTCATATATCTCGTTACTCAATTATTTACCAGTCTTGTGGAGTCGAGTCGAGTCAGGGGTTTTTAAATGGTGTGGAGAATCCAAAGGAATAAAAACAGCTGCGGTTTACTTGGCGAAACCTGAGAACGAAGCATTTCGGTAAAGCGCAGAGTTCACAATCAATGACAGAGACTCTGATTGGCCCAGTGTAAAGAATTTCAAGCTGTTTGTTTGCATTTTGAAGTGGAAGGGGCTGCAATAGCACAAAATAGCTCTCTTCAGAATTCCTACCCTAATCCTACAGCAATGAAAAGCGACCGGTGCTTCGCAGCATACTGAAACTCTAAGTTGAAGCCAGCTCTACAAAATAGTTTTTGAAAGAAAGTGAGTGCTTTCTATACAAGAAAGTTATCGAAGATCAACGTTTGATACATTATTTCGGGACATCCTGCAGAAGATATCATTCAGTACCTCCTATGCGACAGTTTCCCACTCCGTTTGTTTGTCTATCGCTGTTCTTTCTGAAGCTTTACAAAACCGCTCATAGTTTCTGCGAAAAGAGGCGACGGCTAATTAACTTAAGTGATATTGCTGTAGCATGGCCATATCTTCGCTTAGAGTGGATGAAACCTGAATCCATCGAAGATACTTGTTCTGCTATGTACCTGCTAGGAGCGACATGTGCGCTGTAGACAGCAGACGTTTTACGAATGAATACAATTTTTTGCGGTTGATTATTCTGTGTGCAGTGTGCATCGAGCACTCTTGTAAGCCGTAAGCAGAAATCCGAAGACGTTGCAAAGTGTGGCTGCCTATGTACGTGTGTCTAAGGTGACGAAACTGCCTCTATGTATCGGAAATTCCGCCTCGTAGAGCTGAATCAAAAGTGCCGGTGCCCTTGGATTCGGAATTCGTCCGCTCCATAGCAAGTTATGGCCAGATTACCGTGTCACTTAACTCAGGTAACCGTCGCGTATTTTGAGGAGATATGAGCGGTGTAGGATATTGTGGCGGATGCCAATTCAGAACATTTTTCAAAGCTATTCTGAACACACCTCACGAGACCACTCTAATTATTTATAACTAAAAACAATAGCCGACAGAACTAAGTGATTTATTCAACCTAATTTCAATTTTTTCGACCATTTGGGGTGGGGGAGGGAGCCTCTGGTTAGTACATAGATAAACGATGTAATCGTAACACTGCTTCTCCTTATTGCTTTCTCTTCGCCTTCTGCCCCCTCCCCCCTTTGGGAAGTGCCATTCCCGGAAGAACTGTGCGTTGAGTCTGGAAACGAGTGCAGGCAGCACAGAGCAAGGTGAGAATCTCCGTGTGCGCGGCTACAGGAGAACGTGTCCCGGGTGTCAAGATACAGCCTATATTTGGCACGAAAAACAGCCATGATTGATGCTTTATTTCATCGATTCTGACATGTATACGTTACAGAACAATGTTCACTTCGTGAAGCTCCGCCCCTGGAGACGTTGTAACCGCACTGCTGCTAAAACGCGTGTCCTCTCTCTTTTTTAGGACAAAATCGAGCCTGGTGCGAACTTTCCGTATTTCGATTTGATTTTAAAACCACCACAGAAATGGAAGTCCGTCTACTACCTTTTTGGCTCTCATATGTACCCGTCATTATAGGACAGTGTGACCAATCATTTTTGCAATCAGCTAAACTTCGATTTTGCAGCAGATATCTCTTTCAAACGCACACCTGCATTAACAACAGACGGATTATGCTCCCCACGTGAAATCAGGAAGTGGATTGGGTCGCAAACTCTCTATTCTTGGCTTAGTCGCTGACCATATAAGCAACCAAAACTGCTTTTACAGAAAAATGACGAAACATTATCTACAGCTTTTGCATTGTGGCATGGCAGCGAGCTATGGAGTTTTTGCAAATCAAATTGCCATTAACTTTTAGACCGTTCACAGCAAATGCAGCATACCGATGGCGAATGGCGAAGACTTTGCAATACAAGACTCGATTTCATTGCGTTAGCGAGCCATTTGCTGAGCATTATTCTTCGTCCAAAAATGATCGCAAAAATGGTCATTTGCACAGCAGCTAGCCAAGTATCTCAAAGTGGAAGGAAGTGTCCAGCCCGACGCAGCCTCACACCTTGGCAACACTGCACATTGCGCTTTTTGCGCGACTCGGCTGTTCTTCTTCTCGTTCGAACATTAATCACCGTCTCTTCGCCAAATGCTCTCGACTTCTCAGCATCTCACTACTATCATCAAGCTCTATATCACTTTCCAACTTCGACTGTGACGTCCTCTGGTGCTGTCATAGGTCATCTATTGATATTATCCCTTCTTAGTTCATAGAAACTGCTCCTCATATATGCTGTGCCACTTCTTCGTAATCTTTAAATAGCAATCTGCAAAACTCCTTTGCGAAGAGACCTACGAATTTGAGAATGCGAGCTCGACGATATTTGCCAATATTCAGTCACATTAGCCAGCATGCATCTTTAATGTCAGCAATTTGTTTCGTGCAGAAGCATATGCATTTGCTCATTTTGAAGTGCGCGTGGGGTTAGAATAAGCAATCTAGAGCAGTAGTTTTCTTCCTAATACAGTGGCAACCCAACTAGCCATCATATGAAGCACAGCAAATTGGGCCGTAGATTCTTGACTACATAGTCTTGCCTCAAAAGAAATATCAAGCGTTCTTATGGCCTCTTCAATGGAAGAATAAGGAGAAGACTACTTCGAGAGGGTTTCTTCGATGCTTTTCTTGTTTAGCTCCAAGTTACAAAATCATTTCTAGCCACTGCATTATTATTCGAATTCTTGGGCAGTTTTGTTGAAGCACTGGTGATCAATGCTAGCACATACTGGTCGCATTGCTCTGCTCATCGTTTCTTTTGTTACACATGCCGTTTATCAAGCGTTTGTTTATTTAACAGTGCCGACAACTTGCAGCGACCATTTGTAAATCGTCACTGAGGCACGTCGCCAATGTGCTCGATTTTTATGCATTTAAATGTTATCGGTTCCATCTATGAATAGCAAAGATTTTTTTCTCCAAATAATCCTGCTGGGCCTTAGACTTGGCTCTTTCCTTGATCTTTTTATTTTTTGCAGCATAGCTATGGTCAACATTGAAAGCATCATCGAATAACTGAGATTGTTCGCAACAGCAAGAGTACTACTGCATATCGGTTCGGTGTTCCTTATATGGCACTTTTTATACGATTCACGATATTGGCAACCCTTACTTCCTATCGGATGTTGCACTTTCCATGTGCGTGATACCTTCATGATTATGAATACTGTGTCGTTGAGTAGAATATCATTATTGGAAATACCAGTATTATTTTAGAATTCAGCTTAAACGCTAGACTTATCCAAATGCTCATTTTTTCCAATTTGCTCAGTAGAAACTAAAAGTATAGGAAATTTCTGTCGATTAATAGAGAGTAATAGAGAGCCTGTAGGAATCCGATCTAAATGCGA